AACGAAGAAAAATAATATAATATAATATAAATAAAAGAACATTTTTCATAGTAAAAGTAAAGTTTCTAGAGATTTCTTTACACATTTCCTAGGTGTTCTATATTAGGTACCATTTTTTCAACTCGACGCATTTGATTTCTTTTACATTTCTTACCATGACTCCATGACACTTAAACTTTTGCATAGTTAACTACTAACATATGAATATCTATTAATTTTGTCGTGCTTTAAGGTTAGTTTAACTTAAAAAAAAAGCATGTCTCTATGTTTTTAAAGTCAGGTGTTCTACATTAAGTTACTCGTTTATTGGATCAGTACTTTAGTAAATTTTTAATCAGTATTTTAAATAAAGTATCAGTTTAAATAAGTGGTCAGTATTACATCGATTAATACCAAAACTGTTAGTATTTTCATTAAAATATTACTAAATACAATAATTTGTCAATATTTTAAATGGATGGTCAGTGCGTAGAACCTAACCTATCCTTACCTAACCAAACTAAAAATTTAAATTTTGATTGACCAAAAAACAAATGAATACTAACCAAATAAACAGAATTGTAATGGCAAAATACGATTTAATACTGAAATTAATTATTTATACCGACCAAAATATTCATTTCTTCTGACTATTAATTTAAAAAAATACTTACCATTAATTAAAACAAATGCTGACCGAATAAATGAAAATGTATGAAAAAGTTCATATTTATGCGTTCTATTACTAACTTACTTTCCGAGGTAATTGTACTAATCTGAAAGACAGTAAAATGTGAATGTCGGTTTCGAGCTGATCGAATTTCGACGGAAGAAAGTGAAGAGGTGTGAAACGACACGGAAGAAAATTGGAATAAACAAGAGCGAAGGATTACACACACGACACGAAGTGCGGAGCGATACCGAGGTAATTATTGAAAAAAAGGTGGGGGTACAGACGGTATTCTTGAGTGCCGGCCAGTATTCACGTATTGCACCGCAGGTAGAACGACTAATTGCGTTGCACCTGTATGAACAAGGTGCGCTATCATCGACGTGAGTTTAAACGGGTATTTCGGCAGGAGCCTTTTCTTCACAAATCTTCTGCACGGATTTGTTCCTTCACGTGACCGATTTGTTTCTACGCTCGTTACTTCTTACTGTTAGATCGAAGAAACCGGAAGCTGATCACATGAGTCGAGGATCTATTTCTAGTTGGCAGGATTATGGACGTAGAAGTTGTGAGTGATTCAATTTCATTTATTACTTTCCTCATTCGCTTGTTTACAGAATTTATATTTCAAAGTGTGACGATGAATTTCATTTTATCAGTTGCAGATTTGCATAATTGAAGATTTCTTTATTCTCATTTTACATATTACGTACTTGATATTTTCTATCGGTAATTGAGAAACTTACAGATTTTGGTAAAAGGAAATTTCTATGTCACGTATTACACTTGTTTATCCTCGATAAGCGAACACTTATCGTTGAAACTTGCCATTTTCATTCATTCACCGGTAATCATGAATCTCTATTATTCGGTAGTTAAAACTCTAGCAGGAAGTCATGATTGCATTAGATCACGTAACGCGCGCGGTAAAATGAAACACTTTGCATGTGTAAAGTAACTGTTATGTTAATTGATAAATTTTAAACAAACGTTAGTGGTTTACGATAGTGAACGTAAATTTTCAACTTGTAGGAACTGTGTCTCGAATGGAAACGAGTATAGAAAAGTAAACAAGCATGTTAATGATGAGATAAGAATATCTGACAGCTTCGAAAAGTTATAAATATTCCCCCAAACATAATGTTGAGTTAATTTTTAAGCGAACATTTTTGCGAGAAAAATGAAAAACATAAAATAAATAAGTGTGCTAAACAGTATAGTTAATTTCATTTTTCGTTTAACGCTTTTTAGAAGATCCAATAAGTATAGTTCAACAGTAATATAAATTTGTTAAACTTCATTTATCTACCTTTACAGATTTTACACTTCCTGTAAAAATAAATATATTTTTATTTACAAAATAGTCGTATTTGTAATCAGTCAAACACATTATCTGCAAGATTGCTTTTAAAATTTTCAATACAATACTGCCTTGTTTCTTGGACACTTCCTTATAGTTTGCAATTCGTAAAATTCAATTCAATTATTGCATATGCCACTCAAAAATCAAAGTGACTAACTCCATAAAATAAAATTTATTAAACTTGTTTTATTTATGAAACATTGAGCACCAAGCACGTGCTTTGGTACCAAAATTAAAAAGATCAAAAAATGGAGTTAATCATTTTGGCTTCTGAGTGTCTCATATGTCAAATATCGAGTATTTAAACGTTTGTAATAAGAAAATTGTTATTGCAGGTGTAAACATACGTTAAGCGAAACGTAACAAATTAAACTAAACTCGTATACGATAGTACACATATGTACATAAATAACAATTAAAATATAAGTGTACCTCTGCAGCTACAACCGCTTACGTTTATACAAATTGTTTCTTATAATTATTTACACATTGTCGTCAATGTTATTCAAATCAAATGAATTGTACGAAACTTGTTTGGTATTTATGAATCCTTAATGGTGCCGGTGATTAAGAAAGAGGCCTAAGTCATATATTTTTCGTTTCGAGATATTTAGAATTTTCCCTTCGGGTGTATTAAAAAATATGTTTTTAATTATGTAATAAAATATTTCACAAAATACTTGCTCTTGTAATGTAACTCTTTTCTACGAAAAGATCGTCGCAACACAAGATAAGTGATAAATTCAATTTTATTTAGACCTCTGACTTAGACCACTTTCACAATCACCAGCATAATTAAAAGTGAAATTTTCTATCTAATTTTTGATATTTTTCAAAGATTCAGTAAGAGATATCAAATTACTATTGATATATCTAAAGCAACAGTAACTTGCCAAATGTCCATCCGGTCAAATTTGAGGGAATATTTGTTTAAGTTTGAGTTTTCAAAAACTCATTATTTTATATTGTTGCGTTATAAATTGGGACAATCACGCATAATTCTGTTTATTTCCAAAAATACTTTGTGTTTCAAGCAATCGGTTATAAGGGGTGCTCGAGTAGTTCCTCGTATCAGAGCTATTTCGTTTTATCACACATTATGAATACTCCTTCGTTAGATATGTACAGTTTCTGTGAGATACGATTGTTTAAACGTGTTCCTGTTGTCATAAACATTAGCACGAATCGCAGATATTCTGTATATGTAGTTGCTGTTTTCCAGAATTACAGTTGTTTAAAAAACGTTCATGTCTTTGAAAAGTCACTGTATAGTAGTTGCGATTAAAGGCTCTTTTCCATAAAATATTAATAAGTAATGTCGCTTCTCATCTTGGTTCAATGTTCACACATATCACAAACAAAATTTATTTTTTATTTATTTTCCCTTGGTTTAATTTACAATCTGTAGCAGTACAATTGGCAAATTTACTTTTCCATTGATCCATACCATGTTGCTGAATGATTATATTTGAAAAATAAAAATAGAAGAAATTAAACAATTGAACTGGGAATTAATACCATACCTACGATATTCTCCTGGCCATTGGATTACCATCTACTTTGTTCACTAGAAAACTTTTTAAATGGCAGAAACTTCAAAAATACAGATCGCTTAAAGTTCACATTAGATCAGTTTTGTAATTCAACAGATAAGAATTTTTTTGAAAAGAGAATTAAAAAGCTGCCTGAAAATATGGCAAATGGTCCTTGTAAACAATGGTCAATATATCGTCCATTAACAGTGAGTGTAAATACTATTATTTTCGTATTGAAACTGGGCTTCTAAAATGACATTACTTATGGGATAACCTAACAGATCGTGACAATCACGATTCTTTGTAAGAAATCATGAATAAGTTGTTTCTATTTTGGAAAGTCCCGTGGTAGTGGAAGAATCTAGACTCATAATACATAAGACACGCGAAACGCATACGGTACCAAGAGGAAACGTACGATTGTAGTTATTATGTGGCATAGTTGTATTCGCGATGATCAAAGTTGCACGTGTAACCGAGTGTATGCAAGTGATATAGAGAGCCTGACAATAAAACTCCTGGACTGGTTTAATAAACACAATAGTAGCAGCATTGTAACAGTTTATTATACAATTTTATCGTACTTACATAAACCTTACAACGCTTATGATTAAAAATGATTTGTATAAAGCTCTATTTGAGGTTAGATTCAGTTTACTGGTAACACTTTCAAAACATGCGATACAAATTTTGCATACAGTTTTTGTTAGTCTAAGCTTTGAGTTAACATTTGTTTCACTGTTTTTCTATCAACTTTTCTGAATTTTTCAGAATTCAAACTCCCAATGTTCAGTCAATAGTTTTCTAAGATTCGAAATTCGATCTACAGATGCACCTGTTTGCAATCCGTACGAATGGTTTAAATAACATTGATTTGTATAAAAATGTCTTCATTTGATACAAAAGATTGTTCTCTGTTCTACTATCGGTTTTAGCAGGCCAACAAATTTGTAAAAATAGGTTACTAATTACTCAGTTTGAGGTTATGAAGTTTAGGTTAGGTTATGAAATTGTTGTTTATATTCATTGTTTCGATTATGCTTCAAGGATACGCAGTGGCAGTGCTACGATTATAACATTTGTTCTGGAATTTTATTACCGTACCCTAGATAGTGTACGTGGTTTGAAATATACTCACATAAAAATGCTTGAACATATGATACTGATGTAGATGTCATCCCAACATTTTTAAGCTATTTAATGCTAAGAATTTTTGTAAATTATATTTTATATTAGATTACAGCTTTTATAGTTTCTAGTTTATATTATAACAGTATTTTTAGGAAGAATTCTTGTAAAATATATATATAAATGTACATA